AACGCTAGTTCCGAGGATACAAATCAGCTTAAGTTAGGTTTTCTTGTTTATAATTAAAGATGAAAATAAAATATGATGCAAAAGAACCCAACCAATTCAACCTCTAATCACTGTCTCCAAAAAACACTGTCCAAAATTTCTCAACAATTGAAATATTTTATGTTTCTTAAATGTATATCTTTGCCCCAGTAAACGTCACTCAAAAGATTTTCCTCTTTTTACACCTCAATCCTTTATACTTTAAGTAAACTAGTTTTAGAACATTAAATATATTTTTGATAGCTTCGATAGGAGACTAACTATGTTTTACTGGTAGCCTTATCCATTTGTTATTTCAGATGATTTTGAAAGAGCAATGAAAAATGTAGTACGGCTCCAAAAAGGGGAAGAAAACTGTGACCGAGTCCGAAGGGGAACTCAAAGGGAAGGGCCATTCCCGTAATCGCAAGTGGTCCTCTTCAGATGAAGAGTCAGAGAACGAAGATAGGCGCCATGCTACGAAGGTATCCAAGGCTATAGGCCTACCACCTCCGCCACTACAAAATCTACTCTGATGGGTGCTCACTTAGTTGCCAGCACATCATGGGCATCAGTGCTACTACCCCAAGGTCTACTACTGGAAATCCATTACAACCGCTAGTTTTCATAACAATACCATAACTAGTTTTATCCTAGGAAGAGGTAGTTATGGATTACTCGTGGAAGGAAGATATAAAAACAAAATTCATGGCCATAAAAAAAAAAATATATATAAATTGTGCGTGCAGTTATCCCCCTCTCCTTTGTTGGGTCATCAACCCAGTCAATTTTTGCAGGGCAGAAACCAAGTGAGAGTCCTTGAGGCCTCAAATCTTTCTTTTTTCGCTAAGGGGGGAGGAGCCCGATCGCTGACAAACAAAACAGGTCTCGACCTTCAACGGAAGGGCAATAAAAAAAAATCATGCGGAGGTGCCAGCACGTTGGGAGCTCTAAGGTTTCACCTATTCTGAGTGGAGATGAGCCGGAACCCTAATGGCACCAATCGGTTTTTGCAAACCCAACACCGCCACGTTCCGATTTTTCATCAACCCGAAACGAAACTCCTGGTGTCAAAGGTGGGTAGGCGCTGCAACTGCAGTCAAATTTTGGTTGTTTTAGGGAAATTCACCTGCACTAACCTATTTAACCCTAGTAACCTAATCACACTACCTAGCCCAAGCGCATTCTTTTGGCGGAAGGGGGCGTGGTTGTGCCGTGCGCGTCACTTTTATATATACATACTCAGCGCGTGGGCAACAACTTACTGGCCGAAGCATATATCAGCAGCCAATGGAATAGAGGAAAAAAGGCGATGAGCATACGAGAAATCTCCTAAGAGAAAGCGCCTGAATGCTTGCTGACAGCTCCAAATTAAAACATAAGTATTAGTGTCTAAGTAATTGCATTAATTTATCAGGGAACCCAAATTCAATCATGAAGTAGTTTAAGTTCAGTTAGGGGTTGCCGGGGAGAAATCAGGGGGCTTTAGGATGTAGGTTTTCTAACTTAAAATGTCGGTCTTTTCCTTAAGAGAAGCCGACAACAGCTTGTCGAAACAAAATCTAAATTCACATGGTTCTAGATTGTTCAATAAATTAAACTTATGAGCTGTCAATTCGATTAATTCATTGCTAGATTTCCTTACTTCTATCAGTTTCCATTTTACAGTGTTAGTTCATTAATTAGTAATGTTGTAAATGCAATTCGTTCATAGTCAGGTAGTGGGTTAGTTATAAGGTTTACTTGTTATAAATTACTAAAGTCACAGCTCATCAAAAGCTGGCTTAAGGTGTTAACGGCAATGGGCACGATCAACCTCAGGGTAAAATCCTTTAAAATACAGTTAACAGTCCTTCTTAATTTCTCAACCTCATAGATACTATTAATAAGTTTATATATTTCCTTGTCACAATCCTCATGCATCCATACCACTCTTCCATTATCTTAGTCCACAGTCATGCTGAACCAATTACAAGTAGTATCACCCAGTCACCCAGATTCTCTACAGTAAATGTTACACTGAAAATCCCGACTCACATTTATTGAAATTTGGTACAAACGTTTAAACCTACGTTTGTTCGAATGAGTTCACGAATCAATGTGATCAGATCATGGGAACGGGGTCTTATGGAGTAAAAATAGGGTTTTCTCACTTTATGACCCTCAAAACATAAAATGTCCCAATTTCTCTCAAAATCATTTTGAAGAACTTAAAAATAATAATTTGGTATATCGAAGTGTTTATTTACGGCTATTGTAGGCCTCTCACAACATTTGTACAAGTTTATCGGTGTATCCACCCAAGGCAACGCTAGTTCCGAGGATACAAATCAGCTTAAGTTAGGTTTTCTTGTTTATAATTAAAGATGAAAATAAAATATGATGCAAAAGAACCCAACCAATTCAACCTCTAATCACTGTCTCCAAAAAACACTGTCCAAAATTTCTCAACAATTGAAATATTTTATGTTTCTTAAATGTATATCTTTGCCCCAGTAAACGTCACTCAAAAGATTTTCCTCTTTTTACACCTCAATCCTTTATACTTTAAGTAAACTAGTTTTAGAACATTAAATATATTTTTGATAGCTTCGATAGGAGACTAACTATGTTTTACTGGTAGCCTTATCCATTTGTTATTTCAGATGATTTTGAAAGAGCAATGAAAAATGTAGTACGGCTCCAAAAAGGGGAAGAAAACTGTGACCGAGTCCGAAGGGGAACCCAAAGGGAAGGGCCATTCCCGTAATCGCAAGTGGTCCTCTTCAGATGAAGAGTCAGAGAACGAAGATAGGCGCCATGCTACGAAGGTATCCAAGGCTATAGGCCTACCACCTCCGCCACTACAAAATCTACTCTGATGGGTGCTCACTTAGTTGCCAGCACATCATGGGCATCAGTGCTACTACCCCAAGGTCTACTACCGGAAATCCACGACAACCGCTAGTTTTCATAACAATAACATAACTAGTTTTATCCTAGGAAGAGGTAGTTATGGATTACTCGTGGAAGGAAGATATAAAAACAAAATTCATGGCCATAAAAAAAAACATATATATAAATTGTGCGTGCAGTTATCCCCCTCTCCTTTGTTGGGTCATCAACCCAGTCAATTTTTGCAGGGCAGAAACCAAGTGAGAGTCCTTGAGGCCTCAAATCTTTCTTTTTTCGCTAAGGGGGGAGGAGCCCGATCGCTGACAAACAAAACAGGTCTCGACCTTCAACGGAAGGGCAATAAAAAAAAATCATGCGGAGGTGCCAGCACGTTGGGAGCTCTAAGGTTTCACCTATTCTGAGTGGAGATGAGCCGGAACCCTAATGGCACCAATCGGTTTTTGCAAACCCAACACCGCCACGTTCCGATTTTTCATCAACCCGAAACGAAACTCCTGGTGTCAAAGGTGGGTAGGCGCTGCAACTGCAGTCAAATTTTGGTTGTTTTAGGGAAATTCACCTGCACTAACCTATTTAACCCTAGTAACCTAATCACACTACCTAGCCCAAGCGCATTCTTTTGGCGGAAGGGGGCGTGGTTGTGCCGTGCGCGTCACTTTTATATATACATACTCAGCGCGTGGGCAACAACTTACTGGCCGAAGCATATATCAGCAGCCAATGGAATAGAGGAAAAAAGGCGATGAGCATACGAGAAATGAAATCTCCTAAGAGAAAGCGCCTGAATGCTTGCTGACAGCTCCAAATTAAAACATAAGTATTAGTGTCTAAGTAATTGCATTAATTTATCAGGGAACCCAAATTCAATCATGAAGTAGTTTAAGTTCAGTTAGGGGTTGCCGGGGAGAAATCAGGGGGCTTTAGGATGTAGGTTTTCTAACTTAAAATGTCGGTCTTTTCCTTAAGAGAAGCCGACAACAGCTTGTCGAAACAAAATCTAAATTCACATGGTTCTAGATTGTTCAATAAATTAAACTTATGAGCTGTCAATTCGATTAATTCATTGCTAGATTTCCTTACTTCTATCAGTTTCCATTTTACAGTGTTAGTTCATTAATTAGTAATGTTGTAAATGCAATTCGTTCATAGTCAGGTAGTGGGTTAGTTATAAGGTTTACTTGTTATAAATTACTAAAGTCACAGCTCATCAAAAGCTGGCTTAAGGTGTTAACGGCAATGGGCACGATCAACCTCAGGGTAAAATCCTTTAAAATACAGTTAACAGTCCTTCTTAATTTCTCAACCTCATAGATACTATTAATAAGTTTATATATTTCCTTGTCACAATCCTCATGCATCCATACCACTCTTCCATTATCTTAGTCCACAGTCATGCTGAACCAATTACAAGTAGTATCACCCAGTCACCCAGATTCTCTACAGTAAATGTTACACTGAAAATCCCGACTCACATTTATTGAAATTTGGTACAAACGTTTAAACCTACGTTTGTTCGAATGAGTTCACGAATCAATGTGATCAGATCATGGGAACGGGGTCTTATGGAGTAAAAATAGGGTTTTCTCACTTTATGACCCTCAAAACATAAAATGTCCCAATTTCTCTCAAAATCATTTTGAAGAACTTAAAAATAATAATTTGGTATATCGAAGTGTTTGTTTACGGCTATTGTAGGCCTCTCACAACATTTGTACAAGTTTATCGGTGTATCCACCCAAGGCAACGCTAGTTCCGAGGATACAAATCAGCTTAAGTTAAGTTTTCTTGTTTATAATTAAAGATGAAAATAAAATATGATGCAATAGAACCCAACCAATTCAACCTCTAATCACTGTCTCCAAAAAACACTGTCCAAAATTTCTCAACAATTGAAAAATGTTATGTTTCTTAAATGTATATCTTTGCCCCATTAAACGTCACTCAAAAGATTTTCCTTTTTTTACAGCTCAATCCTTTATACTTTAGGTAATCTAGTTTTAGAACATAAAATATATTTTTGATAGCTTCGATAGGAGACTAACTATGTTTTACTGGTAGCCTTATCCATTTGTTATTTCAGATGATTTTGAAAGAGCAATGAAAAATGTAGTACGGCTCCAAAAAGGGGAAGAAAACTGTGACCGAGTCCGAAGGGGAACTCAAAGGGAAGGGCCATTCCCGTAATCGCAAGTGGTCCTCTTCAGATGAAGAGTCAGAGAACGAAGATAGGCGCCATGCTACGAAGGTATCCAAGGCTATAGGCCTACCACCTCCGCCACTACAAAATCTACTCTGATGGGTGCTCACTTAGTTGCCAGCACATCATGGGCATCAGTGCTACTACCAGCTATGGCTACAGGTACATCTGCACCACCACAAACCAAAGCATGCAACATCAAATCCAAGCACATTTGTTTTTATTCGACTGATAAAATGTCAATTGAAACTGTAGCCAAAAAGCTATGCTACACATCCAGTAAGTAATATCTATGATTATAAGGGTACTCATGATAAAATATTGATGTGTATGACAGTTTTATGATTTTTACTTGCCACGAGGTTCAACTCCAACTGTTTCACTAAATGACATTCCAATATAAAACTCGGCAGATAAATACACTCTATTATAATGTCTCTATTCTTGCTGAAATGACAACATTATTTACTTTAAAATAAGATATTTTGTATTAAACTTAAATTGTGTTGTGTTGTAGCAATCTCCGTACAAATATTCAGTAATGGCATTCAATAATGTAAACTATTTTAGTAAAATGCAGATGCTTTTGTTTAATTGCTGTGCAGTTGACTTTTACAAAATAAAATAAAATTATCCGTAATATTAGGATTTTTTAAATCGTATAGTTGTTTTGTTTAATTATGTTCAAATCAAATCAAAATCAAATCAAATCAATCTTTATTGTCACAAAACGTTTATACATAGCTTAGCTACAAAACAGGTGACATTGTCAAAATTATAATAAATACATTGTTGATCATCTTACATTCTATAGTTCAAAAAATAAATACAATAAAAATAAAAAATACTGACTTTGATTTAAAAATAGTTTACAACAAATACTCACTAATATGGTAGTAGTTTTTTTCTATTAAAAATTTTGATAGATTCTTTTTAAATGACATTGTATTGGCTATATTTTTTAAACCTAGTGGTAACTTATTGTACAGTTTTTTCCCCATGTATGTTGGCGTCTTTTCAATGAGACGCAGACGATGGATCGGTAATTGAAAATTATTTTTAAACCTTGTGTTGTATCTATGGTCAAAATTATCATTTAATAAATTTTCATAGTTTGATTGTACCATTACTAAGGTTTTGAATATGTATAAATTTGGAACAGTTAAGATATTTAATTCCCTGAACAGCGATTTACAAGATTTCCTAAAATATGAGAAAGTCATTATTCTTAAAAACCTTTTCTGTACTTTAAAAACTTTAACTGAATCACATGATAATCCCCAGAACTCAATCCCATAGTTAATAATTGAAAAAAAGAAAGCATAGTAGATATCAATTCTAGTTTTGAGGTCAATATAATTACGTAGTACTAGCATTTGATAACAGGCTGAATTTAATTTACTAATAATATTATCAATACAATTACTCCAAGAAAAATTAATATCCAGTTCCAAACCAAGGAAATTTGCGCTGCCACTGAGTGGTATCAACTGGTCCTGAAAGATAATTTCTGAACTGTAACCTTCTTTTGACTGTGCGGTACGAAAATTTAATAGTTGGGTTTTATCTTGATTAAGTTTTAGTCCATTAACTTCAAACCAGCTTGCCAATTCATAGAAAGTTTGATTAATTTTATGCTCCAATTCAAAATGGGACCTAGCTTTAATAATTGCTGTTGTGTCATCTGCATATAGAATGATTTTTGTTGAAACATTCCTAGGTAAATCATTTATATATAGTAAAAAGAGCAAAGGTCCTAAGATAGACCCTTGTGGGACACCCATTTTAATGTTCTCCCAAGGAGACTTAGATACTAAATAATTTTTCAAAATTACAGTTCTTTGGAACCGGTTTTCTAGGTATGATTTAATCCATGTAATTGATTGCTTTGAGAATTTGTACACATCAAGCTTTTTTAAAAGTATGCTATGGTTAACACAATCAAAGGCCTTGGAAAGGTCACAGAAGACACCCATGGTACTCTGTGACCCATCCAGAGCCCAAGATACTTCGTTAACAAGTTCGTTTAGAGCCCCTACTGTACTGTGACCTTTTCGAAATCCAAATTGCTCAGCGACCAAAACTGAGTGTGCGTCTAAAAATGTAAAAATTTGATTTAGTGCTATCTTTTCAAAGATTTTTGAAAAAGAAGGAAGAACTGAAATAGGACGATAATTATTAGGATTTTCTTTTTGTCCTTTCTTAAAAAGAGGTTTTACTTCTGCAAACTTTAAATTTTGAGGAAAAACTGAAAATTTAAAAGATTGATTTATTAAAACCGATACAGGAACAGCAATAGAGTGTATTACTTTTTTCATAATATCCAATGGTATTTCATCCCATCCTGCTGATTTTTTATTTTTTAATGACTTTATTGTTTTAATCACATCATCTGGAGTCACATTTGTGAAACTAAATTTTACTTGATTTAAATCAAAGTCAGTCTGAGTTAAGATTAATGCTTCCTGCTCACATGGTTGAATACTTATATCATTGCTCAGTTCAATAAATTTTTTGTTGAAAAAACTAGCTATATCATATCCATTTTTTATAGGCATACTGTTATCTATTACAATATCAGGAAAATTAAGACAAGGTTTATTACAACCGAGCTCAGATTTTACAACTTTCCAAGCAGCTTTACTCTTATTTTCTGCATTTTTTATAAGACTAGAATTATACATTTTCTTTGACAATTTACAAACGTTACTGAAGATCTTTTTATAATTTTTAACATAATTAATAAAATGTATATTGTTTGACTGCTTTGCTAGTCTACTTAGCTCTCTCTTTTTAATGCTCGATATCTTAATACCATTTGTTATCCATTTTTTGTTGTTTGAAGGTTTAACTTTATTACAAAAAAATTTCAAAGGAAAGCATTCATCAAAAATTCCTTGAAAACATCCAAAAAAGTTTGAACAGTTTTCCTTAAACGTTTTATCTAGTGAAATTTGCCAATTAGTAATACTGATTTTTTTAATGAATGAATTAATGTTTTTATTTGAAAAAAATCTTCTTTTAACCCTAGGTAAATCAGTTTTGTGCTGAGATGAAATATTTCTAGAAATATCCACAAAGATTGCCCTATGATCTGATATACCTAGTTCTAGGTTCATTGATGGAGTTACTTCACACGTTTTTAACTTTAGTGATAGTATGTTATCAATACAAGAAGCTTTATTGTTGGTTATCCTTGTGGGAGAAGTTAAGTTTGCAATGAAACCGTATGTCTCTACTAGAGAAAGAAACTCAAATCTTTGCTGTGGTTTATTTGTGTATTCCAAAACATCAATATTGAAATCCGCTGCAATGTAAACATTATTTATTTGGTTGTCTTTGTTAAGAATCCTTAATAAATCTTCAAACTTATTTAAAAATAATTTAAAGTTAGAATCATCTGGTACTCTGTAAATAGATATGACAATTATTTTTAAATCAATAACCTCTACACAAGACATTTCAAAAACAGAATCTAAATTAAAAATACATAAATCTTCCCTAATTTTATATTCTAATTTATTATTTAAAAGTATACACGAACCACCATAACCACAGTTATCTCTACAATAAAAATGTGCCAAATTATAATTTTCAAAACTATTTAAAATATCAATATTTCCTCTACTTAACCAATGTTCATTTAGGCAAATAACAAGTATGTTTGAGCTATCTAAAATCACCTCTAAATCTATTTTCTTATCAATCAGACCACCTTGAATATTCAAATGTAATAGCCAATTATATTTCTTATCTATTTTGATTTCTTTACATACAGGCCATACTCTATTTACATTTGTAAGACTGTGAAATTGGTTGCAAAATAAACAAAAATTGTCTACATTTAAGTGGTCTGTATAGTCTTGTTTACGGTTTCGTTTTTTGAGAGAACAGGGTTATCTTTGGCATTGGACAGAGATTCATTACTATTTACATGATTTACAACTAAAACACTATTTACAATAGGAGACCTGTGGCTTGTAGAACACACCTTGTCTACCTTTGGGGTACTGGATGCAGGGCCAGTTGAGACGTCAAGGTCGGTTGTGCAGATTAGATCGGATGCATTGGAGTCCTTTGGATTGGAAAGTTGTTGTCTGATCTTCTTGACAAAATCATCATAGGGAAGTCCGCCTCGTAGAACTCTTGAGGAATATTCATTTTTCACAACCACCATGATTTTGACTCCCGTTTTCTTGCGTATCTCCAGTAGTTTTGTAGCAAAGTGTTCGATGGTTATGTTGTCCCTAACACAACCCAGCGGGGAACACACCACAAGTTTTTGACCATTTTTTTCAATATCCTTTAAGAGAGTATCAAATGCAGTGTTGTAATCTTGAATATTAGGTTTGGAGTAATATCTAGGTTTAGTTACCAGTCCATAAACTCGGGTTTTATTGAATTTTTGACAGGTAAGGCTGTTATTTACAAAGTTTGAGGACAATGGTTTTTTAAAATGTTTTTTGAAGGCAGTTGCAACCCCAGCGCTCATGTGCCTGTCATCATTTACATCTGCAGATATGCAGTGGGCAAAGGCGGTGTTTTCGGTGTCTCGCAGCTTGTGAATTACCTTATTCATGTCAGCCTCTACAACTGTGACGGGTTCTTCATCTGAAGGCAGTCGGATGTTGAAGTTATTGGATAGAGCGGGGTTGAAACAGCAGCCACGGATTATATTTAGGATTTCTTCAGAAATTTTGCTTTTACCTTTTTTGTTGAAATGCAAACCATGATTTGTGTACATTTCCCGAGGCAAGAGGTGTAGTTCTAGTAATCTTCTTTTTTCTACGGAGTTCTTCAATTTTTCTTCAAGCCAATAGTTTATATTACTAATTTTGTTGTCTAATTTTGGCAAGTCATGTCGCATAGGCAGTGATGCAATAATCAAGTTTGTGTTATTGATACTGGTTAGTAAAGTGTTGAGTTCTTCTTTTATACTGCTTACACTTTTGTCTTCTATATCATTTGTCCCACCTATTACCAACAGATAATCATTTTCACTCAAGTCTTTGGAAAGATCCTTAACTTCTTTTATGACATCACACAGCAATGCCCCAGGTTTTACAAAGGAAGTGACGTTAACAACGGTCTTTTGTTGTACAAGATTGCCAAGGCCACGGCCATGGCTATCAGCCAAAATTAGTAGTCTTGACTTGTTTGGT